CTTGAGGTAAGCCACCACGTGATCGCCTTTGTCCGACTGCCTTACTAGCAGTATCACGTGATGCGACTGGAAGTTACGCCTACGTCAACCCGTGGTCGAGCCTTATGGACCTATGCAGACTAGGCTGAGTGAAATTAAAATTGAAAATTCTCCCTGTTTCTCATAGTATTTCATTCACAAGTATGAGAATGACGCTGTTTAGATTAATCTGACCACAAATGTTTGGAGGCCTGCTGTGTGCGATTTCGAATGCCGATCTGGTGTAGACGAATTATACCTAAGCGATCCCGGTCGTTAATTTGCTTCATCCATCTATTCTTCAGTGACGCCCGCGTAAAATTTCTGCACCGCGCCTACATGTGTGTTCATATCCGAAAATCGCTAGGTGTATTTTGGGGGGGGGGGGGGGCGCTCTGTAAAATCTTGCGTGTTATTCAAAATGGCCATGTCTCATCGGTTTTGTCAAGTAACAAAGCACTTTCTCTTAGACGGTGCCCGAATTTACAGACATGATTGATGCTTGTAGTTACCTCCGCTACGCTTACCAGCACGATGCCTTGGGTTCATCACGCGAAAAGCAAGCATGATCGCGTGATTGGTTGGTATGACGTACTCCGTCTTGAACGTGCCGCTCAGTTGACCAATCTAGTGGACTAACATATTTCACTGTGAGGAGAGGAACTGTTTTTTTAGTCATCCGAGTCCACCTGGTGTCCTTAAATTTCGGCATGTTATCGGTAGCAGATTTCATGTCATATTCCAATTACTCTTCAGTCGACACTTAAGAGTTTGACTCTTCTTATCTGTGCTTCAAGAGGTGATTCGAATTAGAATCTCACATTTTTATAGGTGAATCTACCAAACAAAAGTCTACCAGTTCAGAAATTTATGAGCACCTGTACAAATAATGGTATTTTTTCGTAGTGTTTCCGGTCTAATACTCAAGAGAATCAATGTAGTGCTCTTTGTTCTCCCTGTATCCTAGTTTCGTCAGAAAACAGGCTTGGTTTCCAGATTTTCTGTCCATATGTGGTTACTATTGGTCCTAAACAAGCGCACTTGGCTACCGATCATGACTAAGATATCAAGGTTTTCCAGATCGATTATACTAGTTTTACGATATGACTTTCAAAGGTTGGCGCATTCCTTACCTGAACTCCAACGAAATGTCGATAGCCGGAGACCTGTCTCCAGCCAAAAATATTTCTAACTACTTTTCGAGAAATACGCTCATTTGCAAATCGATTTGGTTTTCACGGGAGACTCAATTGAATCTCTCGTTTATGATGTCCTCCAGCTGAATGTGCTGCACACAGGCCGCCTCATGATTCAGTCGGCACGATATTCGAGATATCGCTGTATATTTTCATAAAATAAACTACTCACACGGTCGAAGAGTTTTCGGCAACCTTGTGAGTAGTTTCCTTCATGAAAATTCTAGCTACTTTTACCAAGCATATGCTTGCCTTTTATTTACCGCAAAACATCGTATTGAGTGAGCAACTTCACTTTATGAGCTCAAAAATCCATTAAGTTAGATGAAGTTTGATAAAACTTTAGGAGGAGATCAGGAAATTTTCAGTTGGAGTTTCGTCCTTTAAGTGAGGCCAATCTGTGCCGGGAAACCGAGGAGCACCACACACCTGTTTCATCCTTACTGGGAATCACCAGCGTTACGCATCTCTCGAAACTCCGGAGAAATCGGAATCCTCAGCCCTCCGGCTATTAGTTTGAAGACCTATCGCTCGATAAGCGGCTAATCAGCATTGTGATTAGCCCACACTTAGAAAGAATGCATCTTCACTTCTCCCCCACGCACGGAAACCACATCCAGTGGTCGTCTGATGACTGGCCCCTCGGGTGACACCTTCTCAGCATAGATTCTTCATTTGCAGGACGAAACGTCAATGGAGAATTTTCAAAGCTCCTCACACTCCCACCAATCTATGGGTAACTCGGACGGAGAATAATTTCAGTAGATAAGTGGAAACTTCCATCCGAGAGGTCGTCATTCGAGGAACCAGTGAATACATGACCTTATGGTGTAGTTTCTGTGACTGAAGGATGAGCGTAGATATATCCTGTTTTAGTGTGAGTTAATCACACCGTTCGTGGCCGAACGCTTATGTTCAGAGTACTGGCGAAGGTTTTCACGCTTTCGAAACCCCCTATGTCCTGTACGCGATCTCAGAACTGCAGCAAATCCTGGTCGATAAAAGATCTCTCAGAAGCAGTTTTTGGGTTTGCTTGCCTAAGAGCTGAAACATTCTAAAAAAATAAAAGTCTGAGGCCTGGAAACTGGACGCGAGTTATTTATATGTAGTGACGTGCCCTCGGTCACTTTCCCGTGTATTAATATGTGACTTGGATATGTAGAAGAGCACTTACTAAGAGAGAGATGTGACAAGGGTCAAGGTGTAAAAATGATGATAATTTGGAGGCATCAGTTGTTGTGTATGTGCAGTGAACAAGGTAACCCATCTAATATTTATCTGATCTACCATAACGCGATTGTTCATGGGGCATGTAGTTACAGTCATCCACTATAAAGCCGACTCTCTCGAGGGTTATTTTACAATTCCCGAAGTTTTCTGTTCAAACCCTTCCACACTAAGACTGCTCCTGCACAAAAATAACCCCCCTATGTGTTAGATGATTTCTTCCCAGAAAAACGGAACACGCCAGTAATACCAGTGATTGCAATTCGTCGTACAAGTAGTTATTTTGTGCGTCCTAACCACTGTCCTATCTCGCAGTACGTACTCACTAGATGTGTGTTGTACGGGATGAACTTTTGGTCTAAAGGTCAGATAGTCCTCCATTCCCAATCTCTATTCATCGTGTGTTTATGACACCATTTTGAATGCATGTGATTGGTCCTACTGCGACTTCTGTCTCTGTAGCACGCATCCCTCGATGGGCAGCTTTGGCCTGCTTACGTCGAAATCTGTTGTTTCATTACGCCACTTATAGAAAACACATCAGTGTACGCTATACCTGCTACACATTTTGCTATACTTCTAGCGCTGCAAGATCCGCATGTGCAGGCACTCCTGTCCCGGTTTGATTTGGACATGATGAGAGAAACAGTGACTGGTGGGTGATGTAAGTGGGGGGCATAAAACGGGACTGTCAAGTTTCCAAATAGTGAATGAGGCAGTTCTTGGTGGAGTATGTACACTTGGAGGTCGACAGATAACTCGAAAACCTGGCTTCACTAACCTACGGCTGCCTATAACAGGCTGGTGCAGGTTTCGACCCTGCGACTTCATATTCCCGTGTTGCCCAACAGTCTGCGCAAAATTCAGGCCATCAGCGCAACCAGATGTCTTGGACATTTTACATAACTTGTTTCTGTCAGAGATACGGTACAACTAGAGGATTCCGAAGTTGAGACTTTTCAAATGCTAGGCATGTGTGAAGCACATATAGATAATTGCAGTTGTCCACAAATCGCGATGCTAGCCAGGTTTCTTTTTCACTGGAAGAGTTACTGAGAATCACTGCGGCGGGCGAAAACTGATGCATCAGTCGAAGCTATCTCAGCAGGTTTGAAAACCAGCTGGACTTATGTCAAGGTATGTCAACTAGGTGATAGGTCCCATCATAACCCAATAAAACGTCAGCCTAAAGGGGACAGTGACGCCTAATACGGTTAAGGCTAACTGTTCTCTACATCCTCATCCGATCACAACTCCTGACTGTAATAAACCAGTGACAAGCCAGAACTCAGAAGAGGCGCTGTTTATACATCATCATCATCAACGACAGCATGACATCAGTGCTCAACACCAATGCTTCACTGCCGTACAGCCATGACTTATTTGAAAGCCTTGTTGTAAAGAAAAGAATAAAGGTGGATGGGGGAGGGACTTAGTGCTAGCTTAACACAATCATTCCGAGGTGCCTACACCTCCAGACATTCATTCAGGCAATCTGGACAGAAACTGACAACATGAACGCCACTGACATCGGTTGGCAGCCATATCTTGTAGTGTCTCCAACCAGGCACAATGAGGATCACGCGGTCCCCATCCTGGAAGGCGAGTAGCACCGACAGCACCCAAGCGTTTCGTGATCTCCTTCATACTCCTCTGCCAGGTCATGGGTTGGCCACCTGTCTGTTTACGCCACTCCGAATTGCTGTTTATAAAGCACGTATTATTGTGTCCATAGGAATAAAACCACTTATTTAGTCGTGACAATCATAATGGGAAGAATCCTAAGCAAAGATGCGCAGTTTACAAGTAAACCGGTTCTCTCTGTGTGAGGACCTTCACTGGACGTAGACCACTTTTCTTGTTTCCCAATAATGGACTTTATTATGTTTAGTCTGCTAGTATTTACGTTTGCAGGTTCTCTGGGATGCCGCCAGTGAGCTGAAACAACGAAGGGGGACGGTAACGGTTGTCACTGCCGTCCTCGGTTCGAAAGTTGCGGTCCTTACCGTTGGACTACCGCAGCAGCCTAAATTTAGGAATAAATTACGATACTTCTTCTAGTCCACAATCCGAAGGCCAATTACTTCGTGGCAACCATCTCCTGCCCATGAACGGCTTCGTCGCCACAGAATTAGATACATTTAGGATTCTACCAACATGTACCGTATGTTAGATTTTCAGTCAGTTACCCTACGTCTAAGTTGACGACACCGGTCCAGTTCAGCTATCCTTCAAGATGTCACCACCAAACCATGGTGGTAGGATCAGTGTAAGTTTGTGAAGCTCACTTTCGGGATTTTGGGTGATCTTACCGAACCCTGCCTACGCTGCTGCTCCAGTAGTCGTTTGAGACCTGATGGGCTATATATTTCTATTACATGTCCACTTTTTGATGAATCTGCTAGTTGAGACTTCTGGTGATGTGTGGACGTTCCTCAGTGTAGTTCAGTGTGTTGGTCATGTTTGCGAACCCTCGCACTATGATAGGGCCCAGTCTTTTGCCTCAACCTACGGTTCTTTCTGGTGTAAATAGTGATAATCTTTTTTCATCTATTCAAGTGAAACTCAGTCAGAATTCGACTCCCAGGCGTGCGCGCCCGTCAGAAGTGTTCATTTCGTAACTGATGCTCCTGTTTCTGGCGATCAAAACAGTAAAAGTAAAGTTGGCTTCCGAAAGGGCCCAAATCTATTGGTCCATCCAGTTCCACGGGTGAATATCCGCATGATTGACCGACCGGATTTTCATCTTGCCATCTCAGGAAAAACATGGAGCACCATTAAAGAACATTATCCTTGGCTGATCCCCAAAGTAAGTCTGTGTGTACAACACAGCTATGGCTCCGAACCTACATTATTGGTGGAAACAACTTTCAACTGCCGCAAGCTTCTTCTAAACTCTGCGACCAAAATGACAATTATCACCATATATCCATAATTGTCCCATGTGCTCCATGCTTTCTATTCTCCTAATGGATTTGTCCGTTTCTTGTCTCCTGAAAACTGAAAACTTTTTACCAGACTAGTTAGCTTTCTCGGCCTTATTTCTGTACCTATTCTGATTAATATCTGGATATCTATCTAGCCAGAGTATTTTAGTTTCTTTGATTTCACGCAAACTATATTGGATTACAAGGTCGGTTATATTTGGCGAACAGTGTTTCTGCGAACATATGTTGTACTGACTCACTTGTTCCACTGACTTTCAAATTGTTCCAAGTTGATTGTTCTTTCAGTCACCGTGTGATTAATCTGAAGAAAGAATGAATAGTTGGCCAAAAGCTGCCGAATAACCAATTAATTATACAATGAGATTCACTGCTTCCCTCCGCCTGTGTTTGACTTTTTGTAGCTGGTCGTCAAAGGGACGGTGTTTGCACGATTCTCACCAGACCAGAAAACACAACTTATCGAGACGTTGCAATCTGTAGGCTACTTTGTTGCCATGTGCGGTGATGGAGCGAACGATTGTGGTGCGCTTAAAACTGCACATGCGGGAGTCTCACTGAGTGAAGCTGAGGCGAGTGTTGCGAGTCCTTTCACATCGAAGCAACAGAATATCACATGCATACCAGCATTGATACGAGAGGGTCGTTGTGCTTTGGTCACGAACTTCGGAATCTTCAAATTCATGTCCGGCTACTCCCTCGTCCAATTTTTCATGACCATCATTTTGTATGTGGTAAGTGTTTCTTCACGTTCCCCTTAGCCACGTTCTCCATGCATATGCTGTTCAACTAGGTACACTCACATATGGACTAATAGTTGGTCAAATGTATCCACCAACGAATCTTGCTAAGTAATGCTTTTTGTTCTCATATCTTTGCAAATCATAGTGAATTTGCACCTAACAGGCTATTTGCTGCATTTTACTGTCTCTCCTGTATTTTGGGTTGTCCATTTTAGCATTTTTAGTCTTGGGTGCAATGTTCATGGACTTCCGCATACCCACTCAGTTTAATCGTCAAGAATCACACTGCTTTACACTCTGTTCCAGTGTGCGGTCGGTTCCGGGTTCATCGGGCACGGTGTTGTTCACAGGACTACCCTGGCCAGTGGTTTTTCGCTTTTAGTTATAATGAGATTGAGTATACGACAGTGTGCCTTAGAGTGTTCATGATAACTTAGTACTGAATCAAGTTTTGTATGTAGAGCGTGGTGTAAAATATTATATGCTAATCGATCTTACATAATAACCACATATTTTGTAGTGTTCCCATAACTTTAGATCTACTGTAGCAGCAGGGTGTGTATGGGTTTGGAAAAAAACGAGTCCGAACTACTTAATTGACAGAAGAAATTTAAGACCACAGGAACTGAAACGTGATGAAATCCCCTCCCTGGGCACTATTGCCATCGTGAGTATTTATTTATATGTCTACTCAGAGCTGGATAGGGCAATCTTGATCCACTTCACTGCCTTATCATCTTCCGTATCACCCGTTTTTCATTCCATACGTGATGAACCGTGTTCCGATGTGTCACTCTCCAGCAAGACCTCTTTTGAATGTCCCATATTGAATTTGTTGATACGCAGTTTCTTTTCATACTTCATGTATAGTAGTAATGGATGAAAACGACCGCTGCATTTCCGGCCCAAAATGCGTGGAGTACGTATATGGCCGCTTGATTTTTTGTTAATACTCCATCGTTTTTGGTACATAAAACTGACTTTTATAAAACGTGTTCTAGAAATAAAGATTTGGGGGATAAATCATTTGAAAAAATACAAGTACAGAACTTTCACAGGGGCGGTGCAACGTATGAATTGGAAGTCATGTTTAGGAGAAAACATTTGATGCATAGTTGGCGTAATACACTTGCTTGCATACCGTTTAAAAGTGATTTCAACAGTTCTTCGTTTTTCAAACAAATATTTCCGGGTTCCCAAATGGCTACAGAACGGCTTCTGCTCAAGGCACACACGCTTTTGTCTTGCTTTCTACGAGCTCTCAATAGCGTTCCTACGTTGATTAGGCACAGGCTACGGCACTTCGGTATAGACGTCACTTTTTTTTACGATACATTTATCCGTTGAAATGCATAGTCACCCTGACTGAATTGAAATGGATCTGGCATTGAATGTAACCGACTGATGTTCGAGTCCTTTTAGAATTATCGATTCGGTTAAACTACCATAAAACTGTGTACAATCATTCATTGAGCCGGCGTGCTGTTTTCTTGCGTACCGTCTGCATTACTTACAGATCACTCCAACAGGGGATCAAGATGGTAGTGTTCTCCAGCCCAGTTTCACTTCTCTTAATACAAACATTTTCGAAACATTGTCTTCCTGTTTATCCAGTTTTATATTGAGTCAACACACTTATTATACCAACTCCTGACAATCAGGTACGACGAGGGTTTGATGATTCATCAATCACCCTTCAAATAAATGTTGCCTTTTACCGTTCCACTCAATCGGTAAGTTCTCAAAATGCATTAGCAACCGGTCAAGTAAGATGTGGTTCCGTATACTTTCAGGATTTTTCTCACCTCAGCACTCTGATAGACGCCCTGCATTTTTCATCTGCTATCCTGTTAGAAATCCACGAGATAACTCATTCTGCATTTCCCAAGACAGCTACCCCTGCTTTCGTCTAACCCAGCAGCAATCATCCGTTTAACTTGGCCAAAAAGTTGGTTTCATTGACCAATTACCCAACGCCCTTATTTTCGCTCACTGTTAGGCAAACGTAAGCTTAATTTTTCAACTAAAATGTCTGAGGTGTTGTAGCATGAAGATTTTAGTCAACGAGGAGCACCTGCAAAGTGAAGTGGCCATTCCAATCATTGATGACTAACAGCGTCCCTCTACTTAAGAAGCCTTCCTATAAAGAACACCTTCAAAGGGTTAATTCTTATCGTGTATTCTTTTGCAGAAAAATATTCCCAGAATCGGGAAGAAAACACTCGAATGAGACGCGTATAGGATTATACTGCGAACTACAGCTGCCTTCTCGGATTCATTTCGCCCGCTAGGTGTGGTGAAGTTTTCACCGATTTAGTGCAGGTTCAGACCTGGTTCACAGCACTTATAACAAAGACTGACTTTTGTGTTGACTACTGTTTGGACTGATTTTTAAACTCTTTTTTACTTCTTTCTCTCCAGGTCGGTTGTAAAGTAACCAACGGCCAGTTTCTCTATATGGATCTGTTTCTAATTACTCCACTGGGTATAACCTGTGAGTCTTAAATTTTTCGGAGTTAAACATTTTATTAAGTACAATTCGATATCCGTATCTTTTTTAGTTTCTGTATGGAATAGGGGTGCATCTGAATCGTTAATCACAACGTTTTCTCAGCGATGTTGGAAGTGCTTTCCAAGTTCTAGTGTGTTCCTCAACTTCCTTTACACAGCCATTTTATTATCGTTTCAAAAGCATTAATTCAGGCATTATTCAAATTTAGCAAAGGCTTACTTTAAACATCAGTTCCTTTCTTTAACTGTTGTTGCTGCTTATGTTAGCGCACTTTTATTTCGGACCATTGGTCATCGTGGTAAAAGACTACCCACAGAACATATTCAAATATCATAATTCCCCGACTACGCCAGACTTTAAAATTATCCTGAAGATCTTGAAAACTTTGCTGAAGTATATGTGTGAGAGAAAAACCACAGTTTAGACGGCCTCTCCCTCACATTTTTCCAGGTTCCCACTTGACTCAATGGAGCCACTGATGTTGTCAATCTACTTTTAAATAAATAGTCCGATAAAACGGCCGTCATTGACTGACGACATTGAGGACATCAAGCACTATTTGTCCTTTTATAATTATTATTTATGCTGCAAAGTAATTATTAGCTATTTGGAAAGAACATACTACTCATAAGGTAGTTGAAACCTTTTCGACTATGACCGTGACTGTTTCCACGTTTCTAGGATCCCATCAGATGGACATCTCCGGTTACCGTCAACATTGTGCCCTAGAACAGATTAACTTGCAAATGAGTCATTTTGTGAATCGTGTCTAATTTGGATTCTAGTAGAACATGAGGTGGAGGGATACTCAGGACTGTGCCACCCGATGAGCACCAAGAAGGGCGAAACCCGTCGTTGTGAGTGGTGTGTTCCGTCTAGACACTGTACATCGATATCTCGAATGTCGCCCAAGTGAAACATGGGGTGGCCTCCGTGCATCACATTTACTTGAAGCATATCAAAATCGAGAGTTTCAGATGAGATCCTATTGAGCTCCCCATTGAACCCAAGTTGGTATGCGCTTGAGTGTATTTCGCCTATTGGTCATTTTCTTTACTTTTGCACATCCTCCCGCGACTTGTGCACTCCCACAGTTTGATAGGCTTCTATTCAAAGAGTATTACGGTCGGAAAACCGTATCGGATGTGCTCCAGATAAATTGTGCGGAGATCCGTGATTGTTAATTGGATCAGTTAACCTCGCCTAAATTGTTAACATATGGCCTATAGAGATCGAAGACTCGCGAGAAAGGGACCACATCAGCACGTGATATAGACGAGCTGCGGGCTCCAAGATAATAATGTTTGCAGCAGACTGACAGTTTGCACTTATCTGCCAGCGATCTTCGATTAACTGTAACGTCGTTTTGGCTTACAGCTCCCATGCATACTGAAGGGTGCGCAAGGCAATCGGCAGCCCAAGATTCCGAAAACTTACACAGCAACAATCGAAAGCTCGAATGTGTATCTGAACTACGGACATAGGCGTTGGTTCTAACCCGGCCTAGTTAATTTCCATTGATTGACTTGAATATATCGTTAAATTCAAGGTGTACTGTTTGTGGAACCTCTAAATGAGCTATTTTCCTATTCGAATCGCCTGTGTGAAATCCACGGTGCACTTTTGTTTGGATTCCTCACCGTTCCTCAAAACCAGCTGCCGAATTCCCCATCAGTCAGGCTTGTTAAGAACGAAAATTAATGCTGATTACGTAGACGGAATTGGTCTGCTGTCGCGTTCCAGGAATCTGGACCCGCTTGCAACTCTTTGAGGAAGAGTCACTTTTGTGCAAACTGACTTGATGTGTACCCCACGTGTATTTCGCGCTCGGTTCTTAAGATACAGCACAACACCGTAGAAACCCTCGCTGACAGTCTATCGCATATAATTACGATGTGTATATGAGCTCACATCCGCTCTGTGAAGCCAGTGCATATTCGTGGAATGAAACTACCTTAGCGTACACAACGAAGACCCGATTAGAAACGTTATCTTGTTTTGATAACTCAACTGTTCATTGAGCCACCGGATGAAAACCGATACAAATGATATGACTGAGTACTACCTCAACTGTTCAAAATACAGGGTATCGTTACCAACAATCCTCAACATTTTGACAAAACTTCCTCTACCCTCACATTGTCCATTTACTTCACAGGAAATATCATGCTGTTTACTCTGAACCGCTTCTTATTCTGACAGTGAGAGGTAAACAATATCCGTTCAAACTTGAGGGTTTGCGAACACAGCTATCGATAGCGTCACGTAGGAGGATAATATATAGCAAGTTTAGAATAGTGTATGAAACATTGTCTGTCATTGTTTAGGCACTTCAAAGTCTTGTGATTCCTTTCTTTCGGTCGTGCTTGTGCGTCATCTCAAGGGATATTTGCTTTAGTTCTCTGATCAATTTCTTCACCAGTATCGTTGAGGCCTGATTGGAGTTGCTCGTCGATGTCATACATACGATTGTCAACTCGAAAATCTGAACTATTACCATTTAGGTCGGTCTATTTTCCCGCCACTCTCTGCAGCCGTGGTGCGTCGGTGTGCCGTAGGCACATTAGTTCCAGCTGCTACAGTTTCGATTACAGGAAAACGGAAAAATGCAACATACAACTAAGCCTTGAAGGCGAAGGCATGTTCAGTTTGTTCGGAAATCAGGTAGCTGCGCATTGAAGGCGATAGCTTTGATGCACGAGAGCCATTGACTGAGTGATTGGATCATTTCTGCCAATGTCATTAACCACTGGTGATTTGAGTCCCGAGGTCCCCATCCAGGGAGGTGGCATTTGCCCACTCGACTAAGTTTACTGGTTAGTGTTTTCGTGCTTCGTTGCCAGGTCATACATTGTCCACCTCTCGGTCGCTTCCACTCAGCACAGGGCTGGAAGAAAAGAGCTCTGTGAGGTAGACGGTCTTCCGGCATGCGGAGTACATGTTCCAACCAGCGTAACCTATGCAGCGTAAGCGATTCATCTATCGCGGGAGAGTTCCTTCTTCCTAAGACCTTCTGGCGTGCCTAATTATTGCGAACCCGATGTTCGCGCCAGACCTGGCCAATGCTGCGAAGACACCGATGATCAAGCACTGACATCTTCCGTATGTCCTCCGCGCGTAGGGGCCACGTCTCTGATCCATAAAGCAGTATGGATCACTCCACCGCAGTGTAAACTCTCACCTTGACAGACGAGCTCACGTCACGTAGGCGCCATAGATGTCGAAAGTTGGCAAAAGCTCACCTGGCCTTTCTGATTCGAGAAATAATCTCATCTCCAGTCAGTCCACCGGAACTTGTGCAGCTGCCCAGGTAAACAAATTTATCTACTACGTCGATTGGCTCACCTGCAAGCATGGGGTGTGGGTTCGATCTACACAGCCTTGTAGCACGTTTCACACTTTGCAGGTGTGAAACGCATGCCAAACCGTGCGGCAGAGTTGTTTAGGTTATGCAAAAATCATTTGCGTTTGGGATCGATCTGAACCAAGGAGAGCAATATCGTCTGCATACTCAGTGTCTATGACTGAACGTCCTGGGAACATTTTGACTCCCGATGCTTTTTTAAGCAGCATATCAATAACAAATTTGAAGAGGAAAGGGGAGAGAGGACAGCCATTGTCTTACACCATTGGACGTGGCGAACTCGGGCGACAGCTTCCGTATACTCGTACGCGCCCACAGGAGTTCGCACACATTGTCCTCATAAGGGAGAGGAGTTTGGAAGGAACACCTTTGATTGCTAGACACTGCTAAAGTTGCTGGCGATCGACAGAATCAAAAGTAGCTTTCAAATCAGGAAGAACGATAAACGTGGGACGTCTGAAAGAGTGGTGCCGTCCAAGAATTTGTCTCAAGGTAAAGATATGGTCAATGCATCTTCGAACAAGGCTTGATTCTCACGAATCTGTCTCTCCCGATAATCCATCAACCTGCACGAAATAATGCCAGAAAGCACTTTAGATGCGATCGATACCAGGCTAGTACCACGATGGTTTTCTCATGATGTTCTTGCTCCCTTTTCGAAAACTGGAATGACGGTCGAGGAGCTCCATTCGGCTGGTATTCTGTTTGTGTTCCAAATCTTCTGCAGTGTGGTTGTTAGACTGCTCACCAGGACCTCGACACCTTTGAAGAGCGCGGGGTGTAGATCATCCCGGCCAGGTGCCTTGTAGAGCTTCAGGGTTGGAATCTCACGCTGGATTTCGGTTTCCAGTGATGGCTTGGTGTCAGTGTTCCATTCAGACTCGCTTGGTTCTTCCAGCGGTTGTGTTGAAGGAGATCAGGTAGACTGTTCTTGGAAGTGCTCAGCCCATCGCTCAGGTCGGCGATTGAAGGAGTGAATTGCTGTTCCGTCTTTTTCGCATATCATCCGCCTGGAACCTGCCTTCTTTTGACCCGTTGATCGGGTCAGTTAAAACAGGGTGCGGCTGTTACCTGCAGCGAATGTCTTCTCCATCTCCTTGACCTTCGAAATCCACCAACGTTCTCTGCCATTCTTCAACTTCCTGATTATCCGGTGTTTGAGGGATCTGCGTGCGCCTTCATAGTCGCTAGTTGGTGGTATGACCTTTCTGACAGCAATAAGATCTGTTGATCTCGAAGAGATCCAGTTTTCATTGTGTCGAGTTAGATGGATTGGACAAACAGTTCTGAAAGCTGGCTGCACTGCTTCTTTAACTCGCCTCCATTCATCCTTCAAGCAACCTTCGACGTCCACATGACTGTGTTTCCAGTGGATTTCTAGCTCAGTCAGCTCGATACTCTTTAGCTACTGAAACTTTTTGAAGTTGATGAACAGAGCTGCACTCCTTTGGCAAACGTAATGCTGATGGGAAAGTGAAGTGCTAAACGGGTTCGCACGAGTCAATTTGCGTACCCCAGAAGGAACGACCGTCCTTAACTGAATCTCTTCATCGGTAACTGATAGCCACATGGTTTAATTGAGTCTACGACTATCTTGTGGTAGATGACTTCCAAGTGACTCGATTTGAGAGTTTGTGTTGAAAGTTCGTACTGGCCAGGACCAGGAGATGATCCGAACACAACTGAAGAAGCCGCTCTCCAATATCCGTACGCTGAGCATTGACTCCAAATCGATTACCTAACTGTGCTTCTTCCGTGCCCAGTAGACCAATATGGCATTCATATTATCCGCCAGTATTACTATATCCGTCCTTTCTGACGACCCAAGCAGTCGTGACAGATCTTGATTAAACTCGTCCTTCTCAGTCTCCGAAGTTTTATCTGTTGATGCCTAGGCTGATAGGATAAACAGCGTTTACCACATCGGCCTACCTTAATCTTAATTGAGCCAGACAGCCTCACAGCGCCAAGGTGACTGCTTACTGAAATCCAGTATAGTAAGTGCTTTCAGCCTTGGGGCTGAGTACAAACCGTAGATACCACGAGCCATTGCGTCAGAATCACCGGATGCCCGAACAGTGAAATGTGGAACATCTGGCTTGAGGAGCACGACCTGGATGGGGTCTTGTATGCATGTTTCGGTGACACAACATACGTCGATAGACAGGGAAAGTAAGGTTTCAGCAAGGGATGCCTGTTGCCCAATTCGACATAGAGTACGGCATTCAAGACTCCAACGTGGATCAAATCTCTTGAGGTTGGTAGGTGATTATTGTTCTGTTTGAGAAACTGAACAATGGCTAGGGGATTAGTAGATGGGTTGGTTGCACTGCACTGTATAGTGGGTTTGGAGGGAATGAGGGGAAGGCCGGTGAGCAAAGAGCTGCAATGGTAAATGGTACCTTCAGGTTGCATGGGCTGAAGAAGGGCGCTTAGTTGAGGTACCCCTCCCTGAGCCTTCGACTCAAAAGTCTGACTCACGAAGCAGTGAGATGATGTAGGGTTTTGTTCGGGGGTCGTGCCGCTTGCCTATGGCTCAAAAGTCCGAACCGCGAGACATCGATTGTCAGGGTTTTCTTGGGCCCCTTCCTGAAGCCAGTGACTCAATACTCTGACCTACTCGGCTGTAAGCGGATGGCCTGGCCCGAGGGTGCAGGGAGTAAAGCATTACTGTCTCACTCCTGATATGGCTGCGCTCAGCAAAGTGCCTTTTGGGCAGCACCGGACTCTTTGGTTGGGAAAGTATTTCAACCGTATTGAATAATGCACCGGCGGTCACGGTCAGCCATTGGGCGATTGCAGTGTGTCGTTTTTAGGCATCGCTGCTTCCATAAATATGCTGGTCGCTTGGGGCAAACGCCTTACTGCCTTCACACTCCTATCGCAGAGGGCAACACGCCTTTACGTCCAGACAGCCTCGTAATACGATTTCCCGCAGTACGGGGACTCTCTGTTCCTCGTTGGGCTGCTCCCAATTGGCTTCCATGGTATGGTTAAACCCTTAGAAACTGAGTTCCAGCCAGTATAGCCCGCAGTAGCATTGCAGCACAAAATCCCGACCACCACGACAAGGTGACAGCTTTATGTCTGGACTCTTCTTGGGTAGCGATTTCTTTACCTTTATGTTTGATCGGTCTTCAGTGCTTTCCTCCTTGATGTCTGCTTACTGGAAACTCGCAATTCAACTGTGTCCTTGTGTTCGAAATACTTGATATAATTTGATCAGTTGTTTCATACACATATCTATGAACCAGAAAAACTGTCGACATCGATTGAGCACTATTGTTTTTGCACACCGTATACTGCTGTCATTTCATATTCAGTATTCCTACCTTACGTGCAATTTGTCTATTTTTCTAGTTGCGTACACCAAAGCGTATCCGCATCTTTCCGTGGATCCACCAAGTATTCACCTGCTGTCCACCGTTCCTTTGACTTCTCTGGGCCTTCAGCTGATGACAAACTTCACGCTTCAGATTTTGGCATTTGTGTGGGTTCGCCAACAGCCATGGTAAGTCCAGTTTAGTTACCGGTGGGTATGGATAGCATGAAACTCAATCGAACAACGATTTCATCTAAGCCAAGTGTATCAATAAGGTGCAAAATGAATGGGTAAGAAATATCTAGAAGATAATCCGGATTTAGTTATTTCCCGCAGCCGCTCAAGGAGGGCAGCAATTTCCTTTCTGTAAATATTGGCTTGCAACTTGGTTCAGCTTGCCTTCAGTTCATAAGAAAGACATCCCGGTAAAAGCCTACTTTGAGGATCGCGCATAGTTGAGCCAGCAGACCTGAGTACATAGGGTGAATATTCCTAGATTGAATTCGCCAAACTGGAGAAAAGTTATTACTCGCCCACATCCAAATCATCATTTCTCGGTCGTTCACTGTTCTATAATGAACCCAAGTGCGATAAAAAGCCGTTCTGTCAATCACGGTTCGCGGGGATCTGCACCGATTTACGGCAAGCGTTGAGGTCACGGACTTATCTGCGGATGTGCTAGAGAAATCCATGAACCCAAAATAAACTGATTCGACAACTTCAAAGATGATTTGCTATCGCGCGGCTTATTTCGCAATGTCGGATTTGGAGCTTACTGCAAAGATCTTACTTAAATCATCTTGTGGGCTACCAGTGCTTATAGCAGCCTAAAACGGTTTAAATACGTAATATATAGTGGGTTGGCATCCGCTGTCGTATTTCCCTGCTTTTCACTAGGATGTTCCGGGCGTTCTTCTAACTATGTTTCCAGCAACCAGTCCAAAATATTTCCACTTTATAGGCTACATTGTTTTCGTCTGAGGGTAATGGGGACAATCCAGATGACATATTAGAACACATTTTTATTAACAGGTCATTTCCGAAGCCCTCCGTGGACCCCAGCTCCGTAGAATGACCGTCCGCAGCCCCCGCCAGTGGTCACCGTGGCAGGTCTGTGCTGCACTATGATTGTTTTGAATGCAGCATCATATAGCACGCTAGTTTGCAATTGTCCACTTTCTCACTACGGCCTGTATGAGGACATTCATTCGATTTAGCGAATTATCCACCTTAGTATAACTGTGATAGTGCTTGGCGTTCAGTTCAGGGCCAGAAACACGTGAATTCTAAATTGACACGTGCATGGCCTCGTTCGATGTTTTCGCGGTTATGAACCGGCACACAATACATGCCCACTGAAGCCTGATAAAGAAGCCTTTACATAATCGCTTTTGTCCGCGACGCATGCAAATTTGTGTTAGTTGTTGTTATGATTGTCAGTACGTCGGGGTGAATCAAGCAAACATGTTAAACTAATAGGACGGTACAAATCGTTACGCGTTTCTGTTTAGTTCAAATGACAGTATGTTTACACGTAGTTTTATGCGCCAGTTGTTCACTCATTGGTCTTGTTTTCGCGACTTACGATCAATCTCTAAATCTGTTTTATTCGTAACTGTTGTGAGGAAGGCGTGTGATTGATTGACTACCTTGTTTGGTTGTGGTTTTCTACAAGGCTAGTTTTTTAACACAGACATCTAGCCACCTGCATGATTTATCAGCCGATTCTTTTGTATCTTTCGCTTTCGCATGTAACCGTAAGAACGAAACCTGGACTCTTAAAAGAGTGGGTATCTCTTGGTGCATTATACTCCTCTTATTGGCATGGATCACGCAGCCTTGGACCAAGAGTATTACACGCCTTGATACCACAAATGAGTCTTAGTGTCGCTGCGAAAAGGGTGATCGGTTTTATGCCCCCACACCATCCTTAAGCTATGTTGTGACTACCAGCCTGATTGTCCCTGAAGCAGTGAACCACCTTTATTCGACGGTGGCTATGGGGATGCTAGAGGTTTTATTAACTTCCAGTGGATTTGTTCCACTATACCACCTAAATATTTCCAGTTTACAAATGTAGAGCCTGAAAAGCAGTCCTTTTTGAGCGGTCCAGGCTCCCAGAGGACTGGGTTTATTACCACATCAACTGCACGGGAATACGTTTTCAACTATACCCATATGACTAGCAAAGAAGTCGGTTTGGATCTTCAGCATGTAAGTAAGAAATGGATCCTTGTGAATCTTGTTATTTTCAGCAAAAAATGGTGAAATTCCAGGCACCTATTTTTGTAGGTTTGGCTAACACAATGAGTCATTCTTGTCACCTGCTCAAGATGATCTGGGTCGAATTCTTACAGATGGGCTGCATATTTTTTCTAGTGACACGTTTCTCATGACGATCACAAGGCGAAAATCCGAAAAAATATCCGTGAATAGTATTTACTGACCGCCAGCTTTTACTCAATTTAGCTTCTTACCTTGACAATTTCAACAAATTGTTGTCTCGCTTCTTGGGTCAACTAACTTTGTTGTGTGCAATCGTTCTCGAAGTAGATAAAGTCCACTACTGATACCTTCGCAGCGAACCATCGTTCTGAGGTAACGCACTGTTCATGAAAGGACGCTCATTAACAAGAGATTCAGTTGGATGCAGTTGACTATCCCACAAAAACCAATAAGAGTATCTGTCGAATACTATTGTCCACTTTAGCAACACCATCAACTTGACTCCTTGCTTACGCCCTAGCTATTCTTAGCTTAGTGTCTCTCAGTCTCACGGAAATTGTTTATGTACTGAGATAGAAATCGTCGACCTTGGTTGCTGTTACCCTTCTGTCCTGTGAGAAATTGTCCGGTTGGTGAACTGAGTTCCCCAGATAACCAAACCACAGTGTTCTGAGTGATTGTTATTGCTCTCAACTCTATGTAGGTTGATCAGCAGCAGGACGGGATTCATTCCATTGGTTCACATTTATCGATCACACATACAATGTTCGGACATCCGCAAGGAAAAATAGTTATAATGAACCCACCACCTCCAGACAAGTGGCTTACGGCATGCAACAGCCAGAATATCAAAGAATAGCCACACATGATGATTAGGATTCAAGCCTATCAATGGCCTTGTTGGATTACTGTGCTTCGATCCAGTACTGTTCAGGCTATTCTTCGTTCATGAGCCACAGTATTTCAAATTTTAACACCAGCCCGTTCATCCACTGTCCGAATATTTGGGCTTCTGGCACAAACTCATAAAATGGAGCCCCTGTAAAATAAAATTCAACGTTGAAATTGAAATCTCATTTGAAACATCCCTAGTCTCTTACTTCACTGTTAGTGCATCTGGCACAATTAGTACAAATAAAAATCCTTGTCATATTTTTCTAAAAATTCTACCACACTAGCGCGTAACTTCAGCTTTCGACCCTAACTTGATGCTTCGGAGTCTACCACTGGAGTCTTTCAGTGCTCCCCAGTTCCTCAGGTAAATCCGCTTCCACGCGAGCAAGTGAATTGTATAAGAATACGGATTAGTATGAGCAGATCAACACTTTTCGGCCATCTCACCTCGCTCCTGTCGAGTCCCACTTTCCGATTGCCCAATTTTTTCTTTCGTCGACCAATCGTTTGACCCTATGTCGCCAGAGTAAGTGCCTTACAGAGTGATTACTCGCTAAGGTGGTCAGCACGACAATGAGCGCCACCGTCAACAAACTACGTGGGAATTAGTTGAACCCGGGAATTGTTGAAGCATCGCATAAACATACTTTATCATGGATATCGTGCACTTTTCTCCAGGTGAACCAAAAACTAACCAGGACGTTTAAGGAGGTGTCTTTTCAGGCCTGTATACTGTAACGACGGTGAATTACGATGCACAATTGCACAATTTTTCGATCTCTGTACGACCCAATAAACAGTATTGCACTGGACACATCGGATTCGGTCGTCATTCGATAGCGAACGTTGAATACGGCAAAAATCATGAACTTGGTCGACTTGCTCGAATAGGCGAGAACTGCGTAGACTGAATAAAAAATTCAGCAACGTGTACTGTTACCCAAGTGATCAGAAGCGGACGGGGTCCACTGTATATTAGTAGACCGCATGTTAATAATGCCGGAATGTAATATTTGGGTTGCTTAAGTGACAGACCCAAGAATACGTATGTAGAGTAGTTATTGCATGCGTCTGTATTTGTATAGAGATAAATATGCACGGCGTTGTAAGCCAGCTCAGACAAAACTTTTCGCTGAAGAAACAAACACACTCAGTTTCCCCTTGATAACTAGTGGAAGTAAAAGGTCTCACACTCGAAACATACATCAGCTTTGATTTAACGTAAATCTGTGGCACCCTGTTCCAGTTGTAATGTTGCATTTGTGGCTGAAAAATTCATGACTTATGAACGATAACGAGGATATGAATAGAGGACTTTAAACTGTGAGTTCAAAACGTTACCTTATTTACCTCCGTGTTTCCTTGTTTTTATATCTGCCGGAATTTAAGGCATGCATAAAGGCTACCAATTATAGTCAAGGTTGTTCTTCCAACAAACGTTCATCTCGAACAAAAACGACGCCTAGCCGTTGCACCTAGGTGTCCTTTGTTCCGGGGAATCATTGTGTACCAACTCTATACACAAAACTGTTCAATTCACTAAATTGTTCATGAGATCCAGGTAACCTCGCGATTCACCTTCGAAATACACACCACCGTTCTACTTGAAAGGAACCTCTCCCTTTGAAATCGCACTTCGAACTGATTACTCAACTCATGGTTAAATCCATTTGATGAAATCACTTTGATTCAGCTTATTTACGTGGTAGAGACTACCGAAGGTTATTTTCACATTCAGTGTTGTGCCAATGTGTTTTGGGTGGTCAACTATTCTTCCACCGTGCGTTGAGTGGGTCTTTCTATGACCAAGCTGAATGATCAAAATGGGTATCCAAGGTGCTTCTACATAGTGCCCGTCTGCACCGCCCATCCTTGGATCAAACAGTTTCTGTCTGGATCAGGTTGATAAAAACACACTTTATATGCTAGAAGCACCATGTTCTAGTCTGGTAGCAACTGTGCACCTGAAGAACTGGGTCAACGTGTGAGATAAGCCCAAATACTTCATACATTGTTGTTGTGGTTGGCTGGAACATACTGCTCTAAGTTTCAGCGCATTCTTTTCTCTAGGACGACCCGCATATCTTCAAGAGCCACATTAGTCAATCCATTTGGTTCGTAACATTACCTCAGTGGACGCTGAAAACACCAATATCCAGCACAAACAACAAGATACGATGTCGGCAGTTAGACTGGTTCATTCTGAAATTCTCTACTGTACTGAAACTAACCAAATGGTTCCCGGTTGTCCAGCGAATCTGTTTTGTTACTTGTATAATGCCGTAATGCAGATTTTTTCCTTGTTATTACTTGTTGGGCTAGTAATAAACACATCTATTTACACGTGGAAAAATTTCATCATATGCTTACGTAGATGAAGCATTATCTCTCTGTCCCACCCCCTACACGCTTCATGCTCCATGCCCATCCGGCAGCCAATGGTTCTGCGCTTACCAACACGCATTATATCCAAGGTTAAATGTTATCAAACATCAAATGGAAAAGTTAATCTTTCAGCCGTATATTGCTGCCGTTCGTGTCGAAGGAGACAGGAACGCTGGTATACTATCACGTTGACCAGGCTGATAAAGGAACAGTCGTAAAGCCAGGTTTGGGTTCCAAACACGGACTTTCTGTTGAGCAGCCTCATCCATTAACCTCTGAATAGCCAGGTTGAAATACGTCATCCTTATTTCAACTGTATTTTGAACTGGTTCATCTCCAACCGTAGGGTTTTGCGGGCATTCGTCGTTGATTAAGCGCATTCTCGTATATAGTGGATATGGTCGGCTTTCGAAAACTTCGGGCATGCAATTACTTCTGCGCTGATTGGGTCGTACCGGTTGGGTTAATGGACGCCTTTCAAGTGAACTTTTGGCCAATAGATTTACACATATGCCCCCCACTACCCTTGTCTTGCTCGGGAACGGACAACCTGCTCAAGCTACCATAACACGACCAGGTCACTTGACTACTCATGAGTAGTCGGGTCGTTTGCCCCGCGCCTCTTTCACGATCTGGACACTAGCAGTCCTCCGCGGGGTTGGAACGCTGATGAGGGGAAATAAGTTGATTTGGTTCACAAACCTAACAGTTGATGTGAAAAACTGAGAACTTCTAATTTCTTACATGAATTACCTTCATTTGAGAGGCTTGATTCTGACAAATTTTCTCTTGATAATTATTGCATGTCATCTTCGAATGTTCATTTAGCCTTGCAGTATTTTCTGTGAAAAAACACAAGCGCTATAATATGAGCATACTCTACGTCGGGTGTCAGCGTGTGTCCCGTTAAACATCTAATGCTACTTTATTTCATCATACTATAATAGGTGAAAATTCACGTTTGATCAGGCAAATTAACGGTCCTGTCCAATAGTTTTCGCTAGAAATGAAAAGATTATTTTCTACGTTGATCCAAGTATCCAAGTGGATCATTCCAAGCCTACAGTGTACGACTACAGTTGATTCCGTTGTATCACTCTAATGGCAGTATTTCTTTTTTGTCTCCGGACCATTGATTAGGCATTTCTTTCCGTCATTTAGTCAAATGAATGACATTCATTCTGAAGTCCTCTTAGCCCCGTTTACGACATCAGAATGTAGAATGCTGAATGCTGTTTTCTTTCAACTTCTCAACAAGTCCTTTGGCCGCACTGCTTTCAATTCCTACTTTGAAGCGGTTTAAGGTGACGGAATACTCTAGCCATCATCCAGAACTCGATTAGAACCATTCAAAAAATTAGGACCATTATCATGGACGTCTTTTTACTCAGCCGATGATGGTACACAATACTCAAACAATCGCTACAAAAGTGCATTTCCCTCATACTATCATGAGTTGCCATCAATTCCGACATACCGAACAGCTAGACTGCTCGGTAAACTGCATCCCGCTACCAACAATATTGACACCACACGCACAGAGTTGAAGATTCTGTGACTACAACGGAATTAGGGTGATGAACAACGATATCACATACCCACAGAAGTATGGCTCCATGAGTTTACCCTACCCAGTTTTCGTTTACTACTGTCGATAGAAGTTTAAGTTTTTTCTCTAATGGTATACTCTGGAAAGAAGTTGTAAGAATAATGTGTCGGGATCTATGGAGAGCGTATGAACGGTTCCACTCTGACTTGTGCCTGTTCAATCATACTCGTAGTATGCTCAAGCCACAGTTTTATCACATTTCCAAAATCGTACGGAGCGATCTTTAGCAACAAGACTGTTGAAATGATGGTGCTTATTTGGATGATAAAAGCTGAGGCTAGTGCTGAATATAAGTCATTGTGCTCCACAGAGTGTTTTTTTATTAAAAACCTGAGGCCATCAGATCTGCTGCTATTTCTGACTTTCGTACATGACTGCTTTGAACGAAGTTCAAGTTGGACAAGGCGGTGGTCGATTAACACGTTGCCTCATACAGGCCTAGCGACCATGGGTAAACAGCGCGTCTTGTACGATCACTTACCACAAAGGAGTTTCACACTACTATTTCTTTATGAGCAACCTCAGAGTCTAATTATTTTCCTATTTCTCTTCTCCCATTCATTCCCCAATATCAGGTACTTTCCGCTGTTTGAGGTCGATAGTTCGTTCGAAGCAAGCAATTACGAAAACAGTGCCGTTTTCACGGTTGTTCTATACCAGTTTATCATACTTGCCGTGGTATTCTCTCAGGGTGCTCCATATCGACGTTCGATTCTCTCCAACTGTGAGTCTGTATCTGGATTTCAATCACCGTCGTTTATGCTTTCCCTTCACTCAACCCACTTCGTTTGGTTTTTGGACTACTCATCAGCTACAACTTTCTGCTTTTGATCACTTAGTATTCAATTCGGCTCATTTTTGTGCCCCAAGGTTTGGGAACTATCTGTTCCGGCTTTGCACAGATAGGAATTCGAGTGACGTATGTGGTAAACCGTCTTTTCGATGTTGCATGTCTCCACGCGAATGACGTCAGAGGAGACCTAGTTCAGTCTAGCCTTGCTGATCGGACTTTGCAACAAGTGCTGTGATAATCCTCACTTTCAAGTTTACTTCTGTTTAAGAAGTCGTCACTCGAGAAGCTAGTCAACAGGTGACCACGTAACGTGATTTCGTTGATTGAGCGAGGAATGGTGCTATATCCACACATTGTCCATCGGCCACTCATGGCCCAATGCTCAAATGTTCACACTTTTAGCCGGGAAGTGGCGGGTTCCAGACACCCTGTAATTTTATGGACTGCACAAGAAGGATGAAACCGCTGTGCGATGTTTCTCGGCTATCCGGCGTCTATCAGCCTCAGGTACATATCAGAATCTTCACTGAAAAGAAATGTGCCGATGCTAGCCAGTAAAACAGTCAAATATGCACTCTTCCTTTCACTAAGGGAGTGTTAAGTGCTCCGAATTCTGACAGACCACCTTTTGCTGCCGGTTGAAGAGCATTTAATGATGGGGGGTTCAGTGGGCGAACTAGGGTAGGCTCCGAATATAATCTACAATGGTTTAACACACCACGTTGTTGTATTTTGCGCCTTTCCAACCCTATGGTTATCATTGTGTAGTTCTAGATTGACAGCGTGGGTTTGGTTCCGTACGCACATCCTGAATTTAGCCCAGGACTCTCGTGTCACCGATTTTCATCCCATTTGAGAGTTTTAAAAACGCGTGAGCTTATCGTATTCGTGCCGTTTTATAGATTATCACTCTTCTATCTACCTTTAATTTGCAGATTTCTTTGTCTTGAATTTACTGGCGTGCATCGCAGGCACCCTATATCTGACGAGTTATCCACATGATGAAATACTCAAACTTCTTGAGGTTGGTTGTTTTTGCGAATGTTCCCCTAGATGGCTTTACCCTTGCATATTCTCCTATCTCATGGACTAGTCGACAATTTTTTAAGTAACGTATGTAGTAGCTGATATGGTCCGTTTTCCTATTCTGAAAGACTGCATATTCGCCTTAGCAGTTGGGAGACGCACGTCACCCAACTTGCATTAGCTTGTACACACAGCGAACTTGAATGTAGTTAGGAACCTTGGGTACAGTATGATACTTACTGGATGCCCCTTAGCACTTTGCCGACTCTTGTAATAACATTATGGAGACTGACTGACTCTATCGAACTTTTGGATGGCACTGTTTCAACAACCAGAATATAAGCATAAAAATCCGATTTCCCGGAACACAGCCATTGTCAAAACCCGAGCTTTCCCTAATACAGTCATAAAATCGAGCTGGTCGAACGTGTAATCGTTTACTATCCCACGACTCCGGTGCACAAGAACGAACATAACAGAGAAACACCCATTCGGAATAGCTGAAGGACATTTTTAAACTCTTCTGAAATCCTTCCACCAGCAACAGAGTTTACTTTAAAGGTAAAATGTAGACAGTGTTGTCGAACTCAACTGCTAAGTTCCTTTCAGTGGCTATGCTGAGATTTTAACCTTAAGCGTGAATGGTACACATTCCGCGAATCAAACTCAGCTAACACATTGTATATGCCGAGATTAAGCCTCTACTCGACTTCTTTACTGAGTTGAGATGTCCCCTAACACTGTTATCAACTGCAGAATATTATATTTATCACTTGTAAAAGCGCAGAGTGCAACCATTATCCGCGTCTACATCTCCGGATTTGGTAGTGTGAACCGAAACGCGCTCGCACGGGGTTCTTTTTCAAAAACTGAAATGTGCTGAGCGAGCCCGTTTTGTGGGTCTGAAATCAAGCGTGTACCTTGGACGGGTTGTAGGTTGTCCATGTTAGTGTATATTTATGTTTATCCTGGAGATCTCGAATATTCCTTGTTGTAGCAAACCACTAGTCGCTTCATGTAACGTTGCTTTACGAGAAACCAGAGATATCATATCAATCTTAAATCATGTTGTACGTGGCATCCAAATCTGATTTACCCCATTTTACCTTTGAATTGTCGAAATTCAAACGCAGGTTTCCATTTCACTCTTTTTGAGCTTATGGATCATAATCCCAGCAAGCGAGGCCGTTATCTATTTTCACAGGTGAACTGATATTAACCTGAAGATCAGAAGGGTGGCATGTACAGACAGCTAACTTAGCGAACGAACTCAATCACAACTTGTTTTTTATACCTTTTACTTGGACTTCGGTGCCTGGCTGTCGTAAAATTCAGTCATGTCACCTGAAAAATGTTAATCGCGGTCAAAGGGGGAACGATTCGCATTTCCTGACTTCAGTGCTTTTCTGTCACTTATATTGAATGGGGTTTTTTACGCCGTGGTATTTTCACTTAGTAAAATCATCTGGATGGAATCAGCCGTAGGTTCGTGGATTCATAGGGCATGCTTAAAATTGAAGGAAATGCCCCACTGTTTTTGTTTGTGTTTGTTGTGCCCCGGGTTGAGCGATAGGCATGAACTGTAAGAACAATGTATGCCTAACAGCATACAGATTGGTAGGCAGAGACATTGATGACCTAACCTAAGGCACCAATGGAAATTGGACAGTTTAACTACCATTGCTTTCTATACTAACCACGATGCACTACGAGCGAGCCATCAGCAGAAGTGAATGTATTTTACTTATAAGCTTGTTGTTGGTGATATTAAATCTAACATGGGATTCTCGCAACAAGAATTAACAACCTTCTGCGGCATGGCAGCGCTATGTGTGTTTCAAAATAATTTGACCACTACCGCTTAATCAATCTTCACGATTTTATGCGACAAACACATTGTGTGGTCCACGGGGATATTTCTTTCGCGACACTTACTAACTAATCCTTGATAATATCTACTCAAAAATTGTTGTAACTGCGATTAGTGATTGAATTATGATGCAATACTACAAGACTACTACAGTACTACTACTGCACCTGGGTGTATTGCGTTAACTGTATCTCATCACTAAAAGGTGGGAGGGGATCCAACCATGGACTTGCGTGTCGTAGGAAAGAATCGCACGATTCTTTTCGGCCGGAGTCAAACAATTCAAACGAGGATTTTGATAAATGCAAAATGACCTCATGCGTAAACTCCAAAGCGCGTGCGTTATACGGGAACAACGGTTTAACTATGTTGTCCACCTGGTTAAGACTGATCACTATGAAAAAGCAAACAGGACGCCTGATATATTAATATCTACCTCATACCGTAAACGTGGGCAAACGACCTCTATGGATCAGTCGATTGTTTTGTGAATGTTGATGTGGGGTCAGTTTTTCTGTCTCTGTAGTTTTGATCATTCCACACGTGACACGGTGACCGGAACGTCGAGTAATGTACTCTGGAATGAAGCATTCTAATATATAATCATAATGCAACCGAACCAACCGTTCAGTGCAACCGTGTTCAATAAAAAAATTGGGCACGNGTACTCTGGAATGAAGCATTCTAATATATAATCATAATGCAACCGAACCAACCGTTCAGTGCAACCGTGTTCAATAAAAAAAATTGGGCACGGTAGGTACCGACTATCGTTATGACATGCCGTCACGACGCTCATCGTTGATTTTCGAGTCGCATGCCCTGCACTCGCTTCGTGCAACGCCCTTTTGCCAGGCAATTGTGGGACAAGCTTGTTGCTCGATGCATCTGTTTCGTCAGATTCCCAGGGGTAGCTAAGATCTTCCGTGATTTGATAAGAGAAATATCGATCAAGACAAAGAATTCGGAATAAGGGACAACTGTCACGCAGGTACGTAGGAACAGATTGTGGACTGACTTATCGATATCAGTTAGCTATAGTAAACACTCATCTGTAGGAAAATCGAGTGATTCCAAACTAAAAAACAAAGATGTTTACTGCATAAAAGTACACTATTTTTCTTTATATGACGGCTTCGAGGAACAAGCAGATTCGGTCAATAGCGAAGAGCGAGCGCGCTCCAAAAGAAAGGTTTTTCAGGGTATTTCGTCGTCAGCCAATTTTCTGCTTAGTGTATATCCGTCTTCATCGTGAATATTCTGCCAAGAACTGACCCATGCTTTCCCTTTAACCAAGTTATTTGGGACGATTTGATGGGAAGGAAATATTGGAACTCAGCCGTTAAAAACGTTTCTACTGTTAGTTTTGGCTTCGTCACTTCACGCTACAAATACTCACGCAATCTATGCCCGTACACAAAGCATTCTTAGGTCTATCTGCGTTTTTACACAGGCAATTTAGTGAATATTCTTGTATCAGTTCATGGGAGAGCAATCATTTTCCCTTTCCAACTATGAACGGTTTCTTCTGTAAACGCGGAACCAAGAGTTAGCGAACACTGTGACTGGCAGACCGTGCTCTTTTGTTCTCATCAACCTTTAGGCATTATCAGGTAACCAAAATTTCATCGCCCAAGCGACTGACCTAACCCGTACACAAGTCTATAACTTTCATGCAGGCATACTGTACCGTTTCACAAAGTGATCTTGTGGCTACCTATTACACCCACGAAGGATGAAACAATTATCCGATTCTTACCATCACCACCAAGAACAAATTTAATGTTGATAGTGATGCTTCAGTGCCGTCCAGCCGGAAATTTCGTTTATCTGTAGTACCTGAAAGCGAAAAATAAGGGTGGGTAGCGAGGTAACCGGGTACATTGTTGTGCCCACCACAATCACTCTTGTGCCCCCATACTTCCGAACGCCCAACCACACAATCTGTGCAAAAACTAACAGCACGAATCCTGTTGACATCAATTGTTCGCCACGGTTTGGAGAATGCAGCTCATCCTGAAAGATTGTTCAGATAAACTACACCCAGACGTTTCGGAAACTGTTTAGCACTTTTCTGTTGCGTCACCTGTTTTTAACCTCGCAGTTTGCTCTGTTCTGAAGGATGAACTGGAAAAGCGCTCGCCTCAGTAGAAGATAGCTTGCTTATGGCTGAGCTATTGCAGTTGATGCCATCGGAATTGTTTCTCCAGTGAAATATCTGTTGCATAACCAAGCATACGTTTACGAACTGCCCGGTTGCAAGTTCATTGATGCTTCGACATCAACAGCTGTTCTAAAATACCAGTTGTCAAAACCTTCATACCTTCTGCCCTCAGATGCCAAAATTCACAATACGCAACTACTGAAACCCGGCTGTACACCTTTTAATGCCGCTTGTGACATCAACTGGTTCTTGATATTCGTGCGTTGACAAGTCAGACACATCCGTTAGATTTACCACAACTACCGTGGTGTGTAAAACTATCCACAGCCAATAGTGCTTCTTCTCGAACTGAAGGATACTGTATATTGTGAACCCCGAGTTTGATACTGGTAGGCACACAGACGGCCAGATTATTATATGGCAGTGGTTAGTTCATGCAATAACAGTTATGCTCCAGCCCCTCTTCATAGGTTTTCTGCATACTCCAGGTCGACCAGCAACGATTTGGGCAGGTGCGTTTCGAGGGCCCACATTATACAACCAACGATTAAGTTTAACGGAAATAAATGGATTGGAATAGTTTAAATAGCTCCCTGTACGCTCTAACAGGCCCTGATTTATGTGAGAATAGGTATCGGATTATGTTCACGAACTTTTGGGGCATCCACCGTTGAGGGTACACGTTGTTAGAAGCACTAGTCAGTCGACAGAATCGAGAACCACCAAGTAGTGAGTGACAAACATTTGGGGCTACTCAAACATCTTAAGGTGTATGGTGTTTTCTATACGGCCTCTGCGCAGTTGCTAGGTCCCCAGCCTGATGCTCACGGCTTAAGGTTGCTTTGCCCGTCTTCAGCCAACAGAAGCCTTGCTACGTATATGTGGCCGCCACATTCCCTATGTGTATTCTTCCGACGATAGCGACAGCATCTGTTTCACATGACATGCCTGTCTTCAGTAGACGTGAATAAGTTGGAACACATCCGTTGTAACCATATGACTTATTCTTACCAAACCTGAAAATACTAAAATAGATTGCAGAAAAAACAAATAGCGGTACAAAAAATCAATAACGCCAGTCGATAAAATCGTCCTACAAATTGGAAAGTTCATTTTAAACCCACTTTGACCTTGAATGAGGTGAGCCATAGCACGGAGAGCACTTTCACCTGAGTCATCTAGTGACAAAGATTGGTCGTTCTAGTAGTGTAACTGAAATTGCTTCGACTATTACGCATGCATTTTGTCACACAGTCTTGGTTTTACATGGTATCACTCGATAGACCACAACAAACGATCCGATGAGTAATGTCAATCGAGTAGAAAGCTGTCGCATTGATCAGACGGTCTGGCTTTTCAGGATATGCTCAGTATTTCTTATGGATAGACATCAAGTCATACGTCCTGCAGAACTTTTACAAGCAATGGGATAGATCAACACTGATGACTTTTGGACGAATACGTTAGCTAGGCGCTGGCTGAGGATGGTCGTCCGGAACAGGAGCACCATGAATAGCGATGTAGGCTCATCACCTTTTTGGTTGGAGGATATCGATGTTCACAGTTCACGTTTGAGTTGCGAATCGGTAATGCGGATGAAAATTAGCAGGTGGCCGACTGCATTGCCGTTTGAAGTATTCTCCCCGACGGCCAAAACTTTCTTCTTCGCTGATACTAAATAACCATTGTGGCTGGTCTGCACGAACACCCAGTCTTAGTTTGCGTCCCGTCATGCGTCGAATTGGATTGTGGTTACAACCTGAGGGAATCCGTATTTAGGCCTCTAGCAAAGCCACAATCGTATCAGGGATCCAGTGCTTGTAAAGAGCGGGTTGGGTCCTCCAGCAGATAGAATTTCCGGCATCAGCTACAACTCTAGACATCACTCTTCACTGGTCGTTAATATCTTGTATCGGTTCAGTGGACAGTGGCTGAAGTTAGTTCTGATAAATTCGTTTCATTTTGGTGTCCTTTGGATTCTCGAAAGCCGCTTGAGGTGAGCGAATCCTTTGTAGACCTGAAAGTCGTCATGAAAAGCGACTGAAATTGTATCATCGGTGTCTCAGAAGGGACGATAGATAGTGGTCGATCCACGCAGTCCGATTTCCGCTGCTGCGGAAGTTAGTATTGCATGGAAACGGTGCGAAAATACACAGATGCATCCGGCAATTTCCATTTTCCGTGCTCATCTTACCTCATCCAAGACGTCGGCCCAACTGAGTCTCAGTCGCTCTTAACCTACCCACCTGCGTATTCGTCCCATCAGAGACAAAATAGATGCCTCCAACGATGACTTCGACGCACCCACCAGGAACACCAAGATTGTATGTACATATGGCGATACTCTAATCACTGACTGGGTGTAAAGATGTGGCAAAGCCTCCACCCGTTGTAAATACCGCTGAATTCTCACTGATCAAGTTTTTGCTTGGTTTTCTGCTTCCGGACTGAAAAATAACCCTACTTGTTTTTTATAGAGCTTTGCTTGAATGGAGTCTTCCTGTCTGTGCAAGAATCTATTCTTCTGGTCTGCCGTTCTCGTCACCACTCATGCTAGACTGCGTCTGCATTGTGGACCGCAGAAATATCTTATGTCGTAGTGAATGTCGATCCTTTCACCCTCCTCATAATTTGAGACTGCTGGGAAACATACCACGATAAAATTATGGAAGTGCCAATGTTTTTCTCATCACAATTTTGCTTATAGTAGATAACGTGGGACACCTTCTGGTCAGAAAGTGACGAGTGCCGTCAGAAACGAAACGCCATATTTACGGGAACATGCGCTGAAGGAACTGTGGGGAAAGCATCAATGTGTAACTCTGTGCAGAGCAGCCACAGAACCGGCAGAAATGTTCACCAACTTTTTCGCCGAAAGCCTCTACTTATTGCTCCAGCGTAATTTTAATGAGTGGATGACGTGCTGTCTAGCGGGTTTTAGTTCTCACCAAAACAGCTGATTGCGGCATTTTTGAATCAGACTTTTGCAACCCTGTACGGATGAATTTGCATAGTTTCTTTCGAAGTTGTACTAAGCGGAATGATGTGTAATAAATGAAGTGGATAACAGTTGTTTCATCTGGCCTACCTTACGGCCCCCCACCCCCCAGCCTTTTTTTATTCCCGAACAAAGTGCGCAACTTCAGCACCGCCACGATGATCCGGCCCAGTATATACTGAAGGACACACGGTAGCTGTATCGGGAAAATGGGAATTCGATTACTCTGCATTGAGAGTAGAGCGTCCCCTAGTGTACTCACTGTCGGTGGTGTTTTCTGGAACACATATGCAAACTTTCCTCACTTCTCTCTGTTCCGTTTCTTCGATACGGTGGAACACTGCAATGCACGCCCGATAATGTTCCATCTCAACTGGTCGCAAGAAAATCCCACAAGGTAACGATTAAGCGTGACTGGTAAAACACGCTTGCGTAAACGCGGCCTCAATGATGCTTATCAACTTGTCGTCTAGAATACCACCATCACACCTATAGGTTGTTGCCGTTTTTAGCGTCGTTGCATAGCTAGTCTGTTATCTCTTTCAGGAGGATTTTGATGGAACAGAAACGAAAAACGACGAGCGATAACACATTTTTGTTGGTGTCCAGGTCGGGTTCCCTCAAGCAACTGAAATACCTGTTTCAGTGTGAATGGTCTTAGTTCTCCTTTTTGGCTCGAGGAACTGTACAAATCATTGTCATAGAGGCGATGAGGTGAGTCGTGTTTGTCTACACTTGTGGCGACTCGTTTCGACACAAGATGACCGTACCGATTGGCGGCTCTACTCACGATAAGTAAAGGCGGAAGGTTTTCTTTGCTTTTATTACTGCGGACACTCCATCTACTACTCTCTTCAAAACCTTTACTTTTACTAAGTCTTGCTTCACAGTTCCGCCTTTTTGGCACAGTCACTACTCTTGTGAAAGTGAAAATCTGGTTAGACAAACGTAAGTAGTCTCCGTTCACTGAATTGTGGGTCCCCTTGTTATCAGTCCTAGCTGCCTTCCATAAGTCATTCTGCGGCCGCGTTCAGAAAGTGTTTCTGACTAGCAGTCCATGACAGACGATTGTGAATTGATATAGCTTGCAATACAGACAATACTGGTAGTGAGCTTACTCCCTCCGAAGAAGAAACTTCAGTAGAGCTCAGTCCTCGGCGCTCATGGCCTTCAGTCTCAATCTCAGATTAAATAACACACCTTGGAATACCACAACTCTGTGTGGTTGCAGTTCCCCTAGTTTTGTGGGCTTTATTATGTGCACAATATTAACCTCTGCAATAATGTGAGCCACAAAACGGGGCCGCTTCTGGTGATGGGGGATGACGCGTCAGGATGCTGTTGTATACTGAGTGTATGATCGATTTTGTCACTGGCGTTGTTTACGTCCTGATACGACTGAGCAAGTCTAATCCATTTATTACGGCGCGGAGATCCAAGAAGTCACTTTCTGAGCTCAAAAATCCGGTTTTTAGAATCCTAGCCTCGTGCATCATGAAGCCCCGGAAATCGGCTGTAAAACGCCGCCTTCCCTGTTTGGTTTTTCTGCAAAAAAAGCCACTTTGTCTCGACCCTGTCTGCTTTGTCGCAATGCTGGTCAGCAAAAGATCAGCCCCAAAAAGTAACCAGAAATTGCCGTCAGTGGTAACAGTAACACCTTTTTTATACTGCACCATCTTACTCTAGGATTTATAAAGTGAGAACATTGTTTGGAATGGCTGTGATAACCCAGGCTGTTCAAAAGCCAAGTTTGGTTAAACCGATTACCTCCGTCGCGCCGTATCCGTTGAACTCGCCGTTCGAAAGGATGATCCAGTGTGTAGCACACCAGGCAGTAAGGTCTGCCGTGGACGTGCACCCAACGGTGGCCAATCCTTTTTCGTTGTCACCGCTAGAAACACTTCAAAGTGCTACGGGCTCGACTGGTCGATGGAAATTCACTTGTCCAGCTGGTAGTTCAGCTAATGATCAGTTAAAATGACCAATCAATATGGAATAAAATGTTCATTTCCCTCAAAGTTGTTCAGGTCTGTCTGAAAGGCCTCATGGCTCATCTCTTGCCTAGTGCGAGGCTTCTGACGATCACCATTCTAACGGCCACAGTATCGTCAAAAATAATTCAGGTACCGGACTTCCCTCCTGCTGTTTTAGGTAGTGATACATCATTAGATGTTTCTCGTGTGTTGCTCACCTACAAATTCGAGAACCCTGGAATAGATTGTCATTGTCCTGCATCTCACTTCACGCTGCGTGTCACCACCTAAGCCCTATCCGATCGCCAAGCTATGCGTCAGCCAAGTCACGCTTTATCATGCTTCCGTGTAAGCTGACAGTCACCCTTAGACCGATTGCCCGATGGGTGCTCTCCTAGTGTTTAATGCAAATTGATTATTATGAGTGGAACGAACACATAAGTCGTGACTGTAAAGTTCGTCCGCCACATGATGAAAGTTCATCTTGGTGTTCGTTTATTTCCGGCTGCAAGGTGGTTGAGAACTGACCGGCAATCCAATAGCGATATGGTGGGGGACATATTATATTACAGTAGTCGGTGCTCACACTTCTGTGAAATACGGGTAACGAGGCGGACAAATCAACATTCACGTGGTTAAAGTCTCTTAAGTGATGGTAAATCTAAGGAAGGACAATCAGAAGGCTTAAATAAAGATGAGGTGACGAATAACGATGAATGTGAACTTATTTCATCACCACGATGTGGTTCATGTAGCACTTGTTCCATTCCATGAAATTTCTTAAAAACTGAGCTTTCAGAACCCTAGTGGCGTCTCATTTTTATTGTCCGTTGTGCTGGAACCCCTTTTCAAACGGTATCAGATAGTTTATTGGCTAAAGCCCGAAATTACTAGCCGGGGAAACCGTGGTTCGAACCCAACCGCAGTGTCTCAACTGCTGTCTAGGTTTGAACAACCTATCAGTATCTGAACTCGTGTGCCTACCCTGGGTGTCATGGCCGTTAGGCACAGCTGAACTATTATTATTATTTGTCTAGTACACATAATCTAAAATATAAAACAGACGTAACAAGTTTCATAAAAAACCCACACTTTACTTGACTGTTGTTCGGCTATGATGTGGGGAGTTCGGTATTTGGTCAACCCTTTGAAGAAGAAACCTCGTAGTAGATATCCAGTGGCCTCTGCTCTGGGTACCATATTTGGCCTTGTATGAGAGCGACGTAATAGCTGAATCGGTCACATGCTCTAAGTATGGCGCCAAGATGACTCTTCTTGGCCTTGCCCTGTACGTTTTCT